AATATTGTTAGAAAGCTGAAAAAATGGTTTTTAGATATTATGAAGAAATTGGGAAAATCTCACAAAATCTGGTTTCCCTAAATTTAAAGAAATCTACTTTTAGTATAATCATTTTTTTTTGGTTTTTTAGAATCAAAAGCCAAAAACTAATTTAGGGGTAATTGTTGGTTTATTGATTTGTAAATCTACATAGAATTTGTGAATCCTTATTATTTGTCAAATCAAAATACATGGATTTTGAAATAACACTAGATTTTACCCCGTGGTACACCACGGGTCCATCATTTAACGTGTCTTTCTTATATAGAATTCTAATCGGTTATAGTTTAATCTGTTCTAATTAGAGTTGGTTTAGCATATTATTCGAAGTCCAGCGGGAATAATGTATCAATTGCAGTATTTATATTTCAGGTTTTGTACATATATATGAGAATTTACCCCGTGGTACATGACCATGAGAAAATTTATTATTTTATGTTTTCATATTTTTTATGATTTTTATTATAAATTGATTGACTTTTTTTTAAACTCTTAATACAATTAAGGCAGTGTTATATATTTTTTTGTGTATTTGCTATAAAACTTATATTTTTATTGCATTTAATATTTGTTGGATTTGAAAAGGCCAGAGTTTTGTATGTGTAATACTATATTAATATAATGAAACTAAAATTAATACTCAACGTTATGTGATACATGACACGTGGAACGAAATGATACGTGAAAATTAATCTTATAAATATTTTATAACTAATTATATAAAAAATTTAAGTTATATTTGTTTGTTTGTTAGAAATGTTTCTTTTGTATAGTGTTTAAAATTTTATAATTTTGTTTGTAGAAAATCGTATGGCAAGATCACATGTTTTACATAACATTAATTTAATGAACTTAATTAGCTAAGTCTAATATTCTAATATTGATGGTGTTAGCAGAATAATAAATATTTAACCCGTATTCGTGGGAATAATGAGTAAATCATCATACCTTATATCATATTCTGTAATATATCCCCGTTTTATGATATTTCTAACCTTTATAATTTAAATATTCATTATATTTTAATAAATTTAATAATTATATTTTAACGGTGTTATATATATATGTTGTTTTTATTTACCAAATTTATACTATGGTGAATTTCTTGTTTTTAATATAGATGTTACAATAAAATTTGTCATCTTGTATGAAATTTGAATATTTTTTAATATATTGTCAAATAGGAAGTATGACTAATTTTAGATATAGAAGAGTAATGGGAATGAATCAAACTTTATACTAAAACGCAAAAGAGTGATTTACAAAATTATAGTAAATTTTCAATTTTAATGTTTGAAAAATAACTTAGTGAAAAATAAGAATACTTTAGTTATTCTTACTTTAAATATTGATCGTGTTAATAAAATAATAAAATGACTATTTATCAATATTTCTATGTTATTTTATATTTATTGTTATAACCCGTTAAGTGACCTCCAAAAAAAGTAATAACCCGTCCTACTATATAACCCCGTTATATGATAAGTTAAACTTTATATATGTTTAAATATTTATAATATCTGAAAATTTTAATTCAGTTTAAATTTATTAGTTAAAATATTATAGTTATAATAATTAAAAACATAAAATTTTATTAAATCATATGAACCTTTACATATACGTTAATATTTTAAATCATTTGGTAAACCACGGGTCCATTTTTTTAAATTAATCATTAAAATGAGTTAATTAGTTTACTAATATGATTTTTTAAGTTAATATAAATGTTAAGATGTTATATATATGTCGTTGTATTTACCAAATTTACCCTGTGGTAACTTTCTTGTTTTTAATATAGATGTTACTTTGTTATAGTATATATTTGGTGTAATTTTAATAACTAATAGTATTTGTTATTGAATATATGTCGTGGAGTTCGAAAAAACTATACGTATGCGTATTTTTTTTTTAAAATGCACTATAATTAAACTCATATTTGCTAAAAAAAATATATTATATTTTGATTCATCATTTATATTGCTTAATAAGAGTTGGTATTTATGCTTAAAATTATCATATCCATGATCACATTTACTATTGATATCTATATATATTTCTTGAGCTGAAAAATATGATCAGAAAGTGCATGCATGTGTGGGAGATAGACAATGTCTGTTAATGAGTCATACTCGTTCAAAAGCTGTAGCCTCTCAAGATCATGAGCTGCAGAAAGAAAAATAATATTGTAAGAATAGAAAATAACTTCAATTAATGGGAATCGTTGAGAAGAGGAGAGCAAGTGCAACATACCAGTGCTTCACAATCTTGTTCTTCTAGCCTTTTTACAAAGTTGTATCCACCACAAACACAGAAAAAAGAAAGTCATATATTTTCTTTAAACTCACTGAAAACTTAAAATTAGGTCAAAATAACAAAGCTATTAGAATCATGGTAAAAAAATAGAGCATTTTTTCAGATTAGAATCATAATCGGAAATAGAGCATATTACGACCTAGGATATATTTTAAAAGAACATTTGTCTGAGTGTCAAAGTGTTTAGGTCCCAACTATTTATAGGAGATTATTTACGCATAAGATTTATTGTTTTACAAACAAATTAGTGACTAATTATTCGCATAATTAAATTCTGATTTTTAAGAATATTCCAAGTCTATGTAATTTATTTGATTCATGACAATAAATCAGTTTACATTTTCGATTTTATGGTAGATATTTAGGGAAAAAAATTTAGGTACATTAATATGATTACTGTTTATATTTTAAGGGAACAATAATAATAATATGGAATTGATTGTGTTGATTACCAAAAACGGATTTATAGCTTGGAACCGATATAATTAGTTCCCTTATTTTTAGGATTTAAAATTTGATTAGTAGTTAATGTTGCTAGTTTTTTGAAACTTTGATATCATATTAATTCGTATTTATTATGTTTATTATACTAATTACAACTTCGATTTTTCTTAAATAAAAGACTAAATCCATCATTTGCAATCGGGTCAAAAATTAAAATGAAAAACCGACCCGATAATTAATATTACACAAGTAACCTTAATGAACTTTTTAAAAATGATTAGTAGTAAGGGTAATTAGTGGAAATCGATTTTTTAAAAGGGTGGTCAAAAAAGGGTTGCAAAAATAATAAGATAGATGTTTTATCCTTGGATTTGAATCCTTCTATTTTATACTATCAAATCCATTTAAAACATACTAAGGATTTTAAAATCAAAAAACAAATCACTAAACGAATAACATAGGATTCTAACTAGTATTTATAAATCATACAACCAATAACACAAGATTTTGATAGTTATTTTTAAAATCAATGATCGAATAACATAAGGTTTTTGTTTGGATTTTCAAATCCATCAAAATCAATGATCCAATAACCCCATAAAAATTGCTGTCATTCAAGGCCTTACTGTTCCGAATTTGAACCAATTATTTGGCGCAAAACGACGTAGTTTTGGTATCTCAGTGAAACGATGCGTTTTGTTATTTCAGTGCAACGATGTGTTTTTGTGTTATCTTCTCACTTCTTCTTCTTATTCACGAAAACAAAAACCCATCACAAAATCTCTCTGCTTCTTCGCGGCTCTTTCTCAAATCGTCTTCTTCATTTACGGCTTATTCTGGAGCAAACCCATTAATCGTTCGCTCAGTTCAAGTGAGATAACGTTGCTGATTTAGATCAAACTTTAGCATGGACTTTAGGGTTTTTCATGTTTGTTAGTTTCGTAACTCTTTGATAGTGTTACCCTCTTGATAGCTTATGGTTTGTGTTGTTCTTATCTGGGTATGATCAAGTTCGTAGCTTTTATCTCTTAACATCTCTATTTAGGTTTTATTTTTTCATATTCATGATTGTTCTGTCTTCTATGACTTAGTCTCGTTTTGTTTGTTTCACCTTTTCCTCGGATTTAAGATAGATTCTTTACAAGAGATTTGTTTGCGTCTTGATTAGCTTCATTTACGATAAGTACTTGGAAAAAAATTTAGTCTTGCTTTGTTTTTTTTTGTGTGTTTGCTCTTCTTCTTATGGAAATGGGATCACTTTGCCATAATTGCAGAATGGATTTGATGAACTCTGGAACTTGTAATGTTAAGACTGAGGAGGAGATGGTGAAAAACACGGTTTTTGATTCTAGTGATAGCGAAAAAACCGATGCTTGGAAAGAGTTTGTATCGGTAGGTCAAGGGGGAGATGGCAGAGGAAGGTGTCGTTGCATCCATTGTGGTAAGGTTTTGGTTAAACCTACTATGACATCAAATCTGTGGCGTCATTTGCGATGTTGTCGAATGAGGCCTAAAACTATAAGTGGTGGCAATGAGGAACAAGATAGACCCATTCATGATCAAAGATATAGTTCTATTGATGTGGTTGGAGGGTCAGTTTCTGAATCTAATGTGGTTGGAGGGTCAGTTTCTGAATCTAACAGCGAAAGAGAAGGAGTGCGTGAAAACACTCACTTGAAAAAGAGGCAACGAGATTCGACAGGCTCCGGGATGCTGCTTGGTCTGAATGTTCTCGACTGTCCCATTTGCTTTGAGACACTGACTATTCCTATCTTTCAGGTGTTTTCTTCTGTTCTGTTTCTCCCTGAATTGCAGTTTCTTCTTTAAATGTGTGCAGAACTAGGCAGCATTGAGTATATACGTCGTGAAATATTTGATACTATATGAGATGTTCTTAAGCTTTCATTTTGGTTTATATTGTTATAATGCTAGTTGTGTGTTTACAGTGTGATAATGGGCATTTGGCTTGCTCCTCTTGCTGTCCAAAACTGAGTAACAAGTGCCCTACATGTGCTTCGCCCGTTGGCCACAAACGCTGCACCGCAATGGAGAAAGTTATCGAATCAGTCCTTATCCCATGCCGAAACACCAAGTTTGGATGCACCAAGAAGGTATCTTATGGGAAAGAATCAGTTCACGAAAAGGAATGCACTTTTACTCAATGCTCGTGCCCTGCATTGGACTGCATTTACACAGGATCATACTATGACATCTACACTCACTTTGTTGATAACCACAGTCACGTATCCAAACCAATGTCATTTGTTTGCGGTGGTGTGGTTGATGTTCAGATGAACATAGCTAACGAGAAGATTTTAGTACTTTGGGAATCAAAGAAGAGACTTTTGTTTGCACTGCAATGTTTCACTGAGCCTGATACGATTCACCAAACGTATTATAGGAAGAAACCAGAGCCACGTCAGCTGAGTATTATTGAGAAGACTGATGACGTGGAAGTGGTGGAATCAATTAGAGTCTTCGCAAAGAAAGAAGGAAAGAAGAAAGTCTCTGATTGGGAAGGAGGGTTTGCAGTTACGGAAGAAGAAGGGAAGGAAGGGGCTTTAAAGAGCCGTTGAAGCTTTCTTCCCCATTCATGCTTATTCTGAATTGTGATTTCTCAGGTGATGTGCTTGAGGCTCTGGTGATGTGCTAGAGTTTGATCTATGTTGATCATTGTTTCCCTTTCAGATTAAGTTTCTCCTTTCTCAGATTTGCTAATTACAATCTCTGTAATTGCAGATCTCTTGGCTGATCATAAATCGGAGTGTGTGAGAGAGTTGGGTGATCGATACTCCTAACAGAGCCACAGGGTTTGTATGTGGCTGTTAGATGCATTGCACCATCTGCTCCGGAACTCGGTAAGCTTGCGTACTTTCTCTTCTACTCCATGGATGGACACTCTCTTACTTATAAGTCTCCAGACGTGAAGAGAGTTGTTGAACTGAGCTCTGAAACCCCTCAAGACAATTTCATGTTTGTCCCTCACTCTCTATTGCGTGGTGAATCGTTGGAGATGAAGATTGCCATTGGACTTAAGGTTTAATTCTGCTAGGTCATAAAGTGACTTGCGTTGAAATATTTATGTTTTGGCCTGATAAATCTACAGTATAAGACATTTATTATATATTGTTAATTATAATTAATATATGAATATATTAGGAGTAAAAAAAAATTATGGAAATTACTTGTAATCCTTATCAGATTTTTAAGAAAAATTGACTATTTAATTTGGAAATCTCTCTATATATATATAATATTTGTTTGCTGCTGGTGAGGTTAAAGGAGACTAAAAGAAACTGTCTTCATCAGAGAGGTAGAGAAACTAGAAGGTGTTCTTGTGGTGTATCTTCTTTCTCAAGAAACCTAAACCTAAAAAAAAAAAATCGATTCATTGAAGTAAACCGACCATCAAGGTATATTCAAAATCTTAGGGTTTTGAGTCAAGTGAATCTAATAACTAAATTATGAAATTAATCGTTAGGGAATCGTACGTTATAATTTGGTTCGAACTCAACCAAAACCTTTGTAGAGCGATGGAGTGTTCTTGAATCCGTCTCTGTCCGTATGTGGTGCAATGTTTTAGGGATCCGTATGGTGTGTGTGTTAGTGTGAGCTGCATTGCACCATATCTACTCGAGAAGTAGGAGAGTTCAAGTATCATCTAACGTACACTGTGGATGGGTGCACTATGAGTTACGAATCATTAGTGGTGAAGAGAATTCTTAAATTGAGCTACCAAAGACCTAAAGAGAGCTTCATGTTGATTCCTTAACGGTTTATTACGTGGTAACTTATTGAAGATGAAGCTTTGCATCAAGAAGTTGAAGCAATAGCAAGAAAAAGGCTCTTATTTATTCGTATGTCTTTATACTTTCATTTGATGAAGAACATTTTCATGATCATTGGTGATTCATAATCTCATTAATTAGTATATTACAAAACTAAGATTTCGGAGTTTTAACATATAATTATTATTATAATTAATATTAATTTGCAATGGAGAATGTTCTTGAATTGATCTTGGTCACATGCTTAAACGCCAGATTAGGTTGCACCAAGAATGTCTCTTAGCTTATGTACCTTTCTCTCTTTTTCATGGAACAAAAATCACTTTTTCTCAAATGTAAAAAATAAACAGAACTGGCTGAGTTGGTTTAAATTTGTTTTTAATAACATGGAATTTTTTAAGTAACTATTAAAATCACAACTTTAATTTGGTTTTATGAGATTTTCAAAATCCAGAATTAAATAACTTAAGATTTGTTATCTTTTTTTTTTTTAACAGCAAGATTTGTTATCTTTTTCTTTTTTTTTTGGTTGAAAAGATTTGTTATCTTTTGTTTGTTCTTTTAGTTAGAATTTAGAAACGTATATAAGGAAATCATGAGAAATTTATGTTCTTTTTCAACTTTGACCAAAAAAGAAATACAATTTACATTTCTTTGTTTGAAGTCTATATATACTAAGCAAATATGTTCATCAAGAGGGTTAAGAGAAAAAAAAAACATAAAATGACTATCACCAAAAACAATTTAGTCGCATTTGTTTTCACCATCCTGCTTGTTATATCTTCTGTTCATTGCGGTGCAACAACATCTAATAATGTTTTTGGTACTGGTCGATTATTATATTATGCTCTTTTTACTATGGAGATGTATAATTTTGTGATTTTATCAATTTTTGTGAATGTACATTGACTCAATATTATTATTATTTTTTTTTTTGTATATATAGGTTTTGGAATAAAAGAGGATGATCATGTATGCTTCGACGTAAGTCCATGTTTGCCTGTAAGCGGAGGAGAAAAAGGCTGCAATGCGTTTTGCACGAGGATGAACTTTAAATCAGGCCATTGTTATCATTCAGAACTATGTTGTTGTTACAGTAAATAAACAAATATGCCTTCTTGGCTGAAATAGTTTATTACATATTGCTAATGTTAATATTATGTTTTATCGACGTCGTTTCTAATACCCCCTCCGTTTCAATTTTGAGTGATGTTTTAGAGAGAAAAAAACATGTTTCAAATAAAGTGATATTTTTAACTTCGATAAAAAGAAAATATCTTAATTAATTTTACATCGTATTTTCTTATTGATTAATCTCTTTATTTGGGTCAATCTAGTTTTTTTTCACTTTTTTTTTTCTCTAAAATATTGACTTCAAATTGAAATGATTCCTTTACACACATTAGTGTTCTATATTTTCTCTATCACACTAGATTTAAGGCTTTACATGTTTAGTCGTTTTTAGATAATTTTTGGATTTTGTTTCTTTGATTTTTTCTTTCTTTTTTTCAAGATTTCTTAAAAAATGGATTCCCTAAATTTTAGAGAAACTAGTTGTTGAGTGGTTTTCGTGGAAAGCTTATTTTTTTCAACGCAAAAATATTTCATTTTTGAGTTTTTAAGATTATTCTCTATCAATTTTAAATTAAAATCTACAGCAAAAACTAAAAGACAAAATAAAATCATAACCAGAATCCAAAAACTAAAAATTTTAAAACCAAAAACATTCATCACTACTCTTTCATATTTTTTAGTCGGCGATCTTTTGAAAGAACTAGTAATCATCTTTTGTGAAATTTACGTTTGGATTCCATGTATCATGTTTTGATGCGTGATTAAAATCTTGTATGTTCTTAAAGATTACGTTGACTTTGTGCTTAAAGATTACGTTGACTTTGTTTATAGCTTCTGGGATCGTTGGAACCTGAAACGCTAATCAAAATGGTTAGTGTTAACCTATTGTTTAATGGTTTTGCTAAAGTTATAATAGTAACCTTTGGTTTATATATATATAGGTCGTGCTTGCTGCTTCTATTGTAAGCAAGTCTGGAACAGGTTATAATGCTAGCTTCGTCCACATTTTCATATATTTTTGTTTGGCATTTAACCTAACCTTGTTCTTTGATATATATATATATATATACTAGTGCTTGTTTCTAGACAATATATGGATATGTCTCGTATCAGAATCGAAGGTCTACTTGCATCTTTCTTTTGTTAACCTGGTTGGAATGAGAAAGCAGCAGCAACATACCTATATTGAGACAGAGGATGTGCGATATGTATACCAGCCTATTGAATCTCACTTCTTGCTTCTTGTTACATCTAAGCAAAGTAACATTCTTGAAGATCTTGGCACCCTCAAGACCCTGTCCGAACTTGTATGCTTCTTTAAACTCTTTTACATGTGTAGTAGTGGTTTATAAAACGAGTGTTGTTAGCAGTACTTTATCTTCATGTTTCTTGTCTTTAGATGAAAAAGGGATTTGCAAGGCAGCTTTTGAGGTGGTAAATGCGTTTGATGAAGTCATATCTCTTGGGTACAAGGAAGATGTGACTGTTGCACAGGTGAAGGAGTATTTTGAAATGGATAGTAATGAGGAGAAGTTGCATCAACTAGTAATGCAGAGGAAGATCGATGACACTAAAGAAATGATGAAGCGTAAGGCTAATGAGATTGACAAAAGCAAGGTACTCTGTTCATGACACCTTGCTTTTGTGTGCTATTTTTTTATGTAACTGTGTACTATTAACTGAATATTTATTTATGTAATTCATAGGTTGAAATGAATAAGCCAGTTTATTCGTCCATGAGTTCAATAGGATCTGGAAGACTTGAAAGTAGTGGCAATGCCTCGAGCAGACCAAGTGGCGGTGGAGGTAGTGTTTTTGGAAACCATTGTTTTGGAAATGCTTCTGAGTTTGGCAGTGGTTTTGGAAGTGATCCTCAGTTTGGTCTGAGTATAGATTTTGGACGACTTCAAAGTAGTTTCAATGACTCGAGTAGACCCAGTGGTGGTGGCAGTGTCTTTGCAAATTGTTCTGGGTTTGACCGTAGTTTTGGTCCGAGTTCAATGGGATCTGGACGACTTCAAAGTAGTTTCAATGACTCGAGTAGACCTAATGGTCGTGGCACTGTCTTTGGAAATGGTTCTGGGTTTGACCGTGCTTTTGGTCCGAGTTCAATGGGATCTGGACGACTTCAAAGTAGTTTCAATGACTCGAGTAGACCCAGTGGTAGTGTTAGTGGTTTAGGAAATGGTTCTCCGTTTGGTATGTGTTCAATGGGATCTTTACTTGATAGTAACTTTAGTGAATTGAGAAGATCAAGTGGTTTTGAAAGTGGCTTTGGAAATGGAAGTGGTTCTGTGTTTGGCATGATTTCAGACGTTGATCCTATAAACACCAAACCCAAAGGTTAGTGTACTTCAAACTAGTACATCTTTCACAGCTGAACCTTGAATCCCAAGTAATTTTATATCAAAATTGAGCATTTCCATCTATGGTTTGCTAAGTGCCTATGATGACAAAACCATCAAAACATCTTTTGCTTTTGTAATTCTTAATTTCACAGACAAATCACCGTTGGAAAAAAACCAGTTAATGGAGTTCTTTAAAGCAGAAGGTGAAGACATTATTGAAAATGTTAAGCCTACTGCTCCAACTGATCATTACACATTTACGGTCGTAGAGGAGCTCAATGTCAAATTGGGACGAGATGGCGAACTCAATAGCTTTAACATGCAAGGAACCCTGTCACTTCAAATTCTTAACCAAGAAGATGGATTTGTCCAAGTCCGGGTACTTCAAAGAGTATATAACAACTTTCTTGAATACTTCACTTTACTTTATCTTATCTTCTAATCAATTTGTATATGTCTTTAGGTTAAAACAAGTCGAAACCCTAAAATTCATTTCGACACCTATCCCATACTGGTCTTCTGAGATGGAGAACGCAAATCACAGAAAAGTCAATGGTGCCTCTAAAATGTAATGTTCTGAAGACAAGTTTACATATTATAGAATTTGTCCACTCATGCAAATCTGTTTGTCTGGTGCAGTCTTCTGTTTTCCTAGAGACACGGGACACGAGACAATTGTGAGCATATCGTATGAAGCCTCACCCATGTTTGATCTGACTAATGTCATTATCTCTATACTACTTCCATCTCTGAGAGATCCACCGAGGGTTAGCTATTGCGTCGGGGAATGGAAGTTTGAATAATTAAAACTTCATTGACATTGTTTTATGAGTTATGAGATGAACCAAACCATATATACATTTTGTGAATCATATCAGGTACGACCCAATAGTTCATGTCTTGAAATGGTCTATACGTTATATATATCAACAAAACTAACAACAGGTAAACAAATATAATGATGAGACTTCATAAGTTTAAAACAACTTTAGAGTGTTTTGTTTGTCATTTGTATATATGGACACTTTTTGCAGTGTGAGAATTTATATTGAGGTGCCACGAATTGATCTGTCGGTGTTATTCCCTATCTCAGTTCAGTTTGCAGCCACCAATACCTATGGTGGCTTGGAGGTAATACATATTTGTAGTTTATATATATAAGAGTTACAGTGGCTTTGTTTAATGTTCGATTACTAATGCTAAGCTGGTGGTGAAGGTGATTGAAATGATTCCTCTCAATGGCAGACTCTGCTGTGCTGGTGAAACTCCAAAGTTTATTCAGAGGACGCAGCTGATTGCAGTGAATTACCAAGTTGTATGAGAAGCTCTTTTGAGTTTTTCTCCTTTTTGAGCCTCTATTATTTTTTAATTTCTATCTGGTTTTGGGTTTTTCATAATTGCATCCCAAAGTTTTAAGGGAGGTGTATTCAAAGTAGCATTATAAGATATTTGAGTTTTATAGAGTTTTTATATAACTAGGTTGTGAACCCACGTTACCCGTGGGTTTATTTGATATATTTTGGTAAAATTATATTTGATTGATGATAGTTATAAAATTTTTATATAGATAGTTAGATTACTATTAAGGCATAAAAATTCATTTCAAATACAACACTTTCAAAAATTATAAATCAATTTTGTTAAAGAATCAAATAAGATCAAAAGAATCATGAATCAATCTTGTTTTTTTCATATTTAATTGGGCACAAACACCTAAGTCTTCTTATTTTTTCTCACATTCATTGTTTTCAGATTTTTCATATATATAAGGACGAAAATAGTTCATGTCCACACAAATCACTTAGACAATGTATCTATCAAGTCATTGGTGAGCAAGAGAGGATGTTGGGGTGGGAACACTACAGTTGATCACCAATATTGAGGGTTTAGTGCATTTCCTTGTACTTTTAGGTTTTCTTTCTTAGGCGTTTTTCGGGCTACTAATGGTTTACTTAAACAGAAGTAAATCATGTTGTTGCCTTTTAGCTTCATAACTTTATCTAACAGTTTCGCAGCACATATTTCTTCATAGTAATACTTAATAAGTTGATATAGGTCAACATAGACTTATATATGAACTCTACATCTAGGGTGGAAGAGGGCCTACTTTCAACATCAATGGCACGAAGCATGTCTTCTTTATGCTTTCTTTCATTGATATCTTTATTTTCTGCAACTAAACTTGTATTTGGGCCATAACAACCATTTATACTTGATGCAATTTTGCACTTAAATGATACACGACATTTTCTTCGTTTCATCATTTTTTCTATAAACAATCACGACGCCTTTTTATTACACATGTTCCATATAGAGAAACAAATATTAAAATAGCTGGAATTATCTTCAAGTGCAACCAAACAAATAAATGGTGTTTAACATATACTCCAGCTAATACTTTCCTGGAGCGACACCTAGCCAATTTTTCTTGTTTTTGCTTTCATTGATAATTTTTCTTCATATCCAATACTTCTACATTAGTAATAAACTCTAATTGTGGCTGACGACTCTGAATTTACAACTTAAAAAATATGATCAGATGTGATGCCTCTTCTTATTATTTATACTAAAATGATGTAGGGTTAATCGAATATGTATTTGTGATAATATTCTTTTTCTAGTTAAAAAATAAGGATTAAGAAAATAAGGATTAAAAATGTAAGTTTTATATATTTCATCTATTGTTTTTCAAAAGTTTACAATTCTCTTTTTTCTTTATATTTCTTTTTCCTTTTTATTATTATTTTTTATAAAAAAGAAATA